AACATGAAAAATTATAAAATTGTTTGGTTTAGATAAAAAATCTAGGTTTTGATAAAATTAAGGTTTAACCATGAAAATGATTATGGAATTGGGTGAAAACTATATATTTGAGTTTGTGAGATTATGGATAACATTTATCTTCGAATATTTTCGGAATCCGGGCACGTGGGCCCGAAGATGAATTTTTGGAATCTTTCAATTTGGGTTGGGTAATTACTCTAATAGTTAAATTATGAACTTTTGGACACATATTGATCAATTTATATAATATTTGACTAGTTTCGGGTTGTTTGGCACCGAGTTGAGGATTTAAAGCATATTTGAGGATCGGGAGTGAGCTTGAGAACGAGGTAAGTCTCTTGCTTAACCTTGTAAGAGGGAACTCATCCCCTTAGGTGTATTTGTTGTGAATTACTTGTGTGGGGAGCTACGTACGTACTAGGTGACGAGAGTCTGTGCGTAGCTAAATTTCATGTGATGTCCGGGTAGTCTTAGATTTACATCATGCTTTGTTTGAAGTATTATGTTGATTGTGCATATTAATTGTCTTAAATAGAGCTGAGATTAAGGATTTTACGATTTAAAGTCTCCAATTTGGATTTCTTATGTATGGGAAAAATTGAAGAATTTTATAATAACTCTGATAAATCCATGTTCACTCGCGTTGCAAGTATTCCCGCGAGCGAGGTAAATTCCTCTACTCTCATGGGAGCAGGCCGTTCGCCTCGGCATGTTAATAGATGCATCTACGGTTCGTGTCGTTCGACCCTCGGTAGTGCACCCAATATATTTTTGGATCGGATCGCACGTCCTCGACATAATTCGTGCGTGATAATTCTCAGAGCCTAATTATACTTGATATCATTTTATTGCTTGAGCGATTAAAATTATTTAATGACAGAAATTGACTTGGAATTTATTATTAGTGAAAGAATAATTATCCACTGCTTGTTACTAAGTTGTATCTATTATTTACATAATCCATGCTTATTTAGAATTACTGTATTTTATTGTTGGCCCATAGTAAGTGTGGAAGTTGACCCCTCGTCACTACTTCTTCGAGGTTAGACTAGATACTTATTGGGTACATGTTGTTTATGTACTCACGCTACACTTCTGCACTAATCGTGCAGGTTCTGAGGCAGGTGCATCTGGTAGTTATCCCGACGCACACCCCTGATACGTCGAGACTTAATTAGTGGTGAGCTGCTTTTCGAGTCCATCCTGCAGCACCCGGAGTCTCTCTTTTGCTTTTATTTTCTGTCTACTCCATTCAGACAGTAGTTTAGTGTTTTGAATATTCAACTAATAGCTCATATACTTGTTACACTAGATCTTAGATTTTTGCTAGTAGATACTTGATGATTTTGAGTATTTTCTTTCACCATACCTGTTCGTAAAATCGTTCACACTTTATTTTATTAAATTTTCTCACCTCTTACTTATTTAATAATTAAAAATCAACTATTTCTAAAATATTAAAAGAATAGATCCATGGCTAGTTCACTGTTGGCTTGCGTAACGGCAACGTTGAGCGTCATCACGACCTATAAGAAAATTAGATCGTGACAAGGAGATTCAATAAATGATAAAGGTAGCTAGTATTTTAAGCGTTGTCGATTATGACAAGCACGACTTGATAACTTTTTTTTTCTTTTTATTCTTAACACAATCTCAATATTTTAAAGTTGACACTCTAAAATTTTTACAAAGTTAAAATAAAAAAAGGTACAACAAATTTATCTACTTTCTATCTAATTGAATTTTTTTTATTAACCCTAAGATATTTAAATATTTTTTTATTACTAAGAAGTTGTTACTTGCACAAAAAAGAAAATCGAAAAGATTTCTAAATGCTAAACCAATAATTAATGAAAAAAGAGTTGTACACCAAAGCAGAAAATTTAGTATAAAACAATTAAGCAGTAATAATTAAATTAAACTAACAGATTATAAATGATTTCAATACATATACTTGCATGTTTTGTCAAAATTTAAGAAAGAAACCAAAATTTACTTTGTAAATAGGTTTAGTTTTTTTTTTGGAAGGTAATTAAACTATGGAATAGTTTTATTTTATTCAAGCAAAGAAAATAAAGTGAACAAAAAAATGACTAGGAATAGGACATGAGAGTAATATTTAACAACATAATACGTGAAAGTAACCTTGGACGGAGAAGGGCATTCCGGTAGATATAAACTGCTTTATCAGTAAACTAGTAAAATTGTTCGCGCTTCGCGCAGTCCTAAAACATCAGCTAATCTACAGTTGGATGATATTTTTGAAAAAATTGTTAAGATAGAAGAAACTATCCTTAAAGAAATAAAAGAAAAGAGTAATTAATATGCAAGCATCATCTCTCTTGGAAGAAGAAAAAAATTCCAAATAGAGCTATCGTAATTTTACCTTCTCTATTTGTGAGATTACATTGGGTTGTTATTGTTGCAATCGTAAATTTAAAAGGAAACTTTCGCGTAATAGATAATTGAGTAGGAATATATCGGATGAAATTGTGCCTTACGATTAGCAACTTCTCTTCTCTTCTCCTCTTTCTATCAAGACCTTCGTCACAAAGAACATATATGATGAATTAGCAGAGTGGTTAAGAGAATGACTTTTGCTTCTTAAAGCCAACTGTTAAGTTAGAATTAAACAAAGGTTAGGAATACAATTACTTAATTACTTCTTCTCTTCTTTTATTTCTCTCCCTCCCTCGCTCCTACAGTTACTCCAAAAAATAAAAAACTTTGTTCCCTTCATGGAAACAAATTTTTATGCTATTATCCTAATTCTGTCATATATATAATTAATTTTATTTCTATGCTAGCATTTCTTTTTCTAAATAGAGAAAAATAACTCTCAAAAGAGAGAGACGCAAGTTCCAGAGAAGCAAATATATAAATTATCATCTGGTAAAGCTTATTTTAAAATAGTATTTGTACATACTATTATATATATTGGTATAGTACTTAATCTTAGCAACTAACAAACAAATATGCTTATACTATTTAGTATAATACATGAAAAACATCAAAATATCCAGGCTAATTATATATTCCAAAATAGAGAAAATGATATGTATAAATTGTTTCAAGAAGAAACATAAGACAATTGGCATTAAAAGTTATTATACCTTGTTGCTTTCACTTCAAGAACATTCGTAGAAATCAAATACTCACTCCGTACATTTTCACTTTTATTTGTCCACTATATATACTAAATTGGGAGAAAGATAATCTTATTTTTATTTTACCCTTATCATTAACTACTTATTTCTCAAATCATTTCCCAAGACTTTTGAAAATGTTATTATTATTATGGGTAAAATTATAAATTACATACTTCATTTATTTTTTCTTAAAGGGAATATAAAGTTAAAAGTGGACAACTAAAAGTGAACATAGGAAGTAGGAAGTTTCACTTTCATATCCAAAAACAGAATAGAAAAAAAAAAGAGAAGAAGAAGAAGAAGAAGAGAACAACATCATTTAAAAACCAGAACGATCTGCCAAATATGACACATCAATGAATCATTAAAAATAAAAATAGGGTAAATAGAATTAAATCCACCAAACCAGAGAAATAGAAGAGAACAAACAACATTTGAAAACTATTATTACCAAGAAATCAATACAACAATGAATTAAGAAAAAACAAAATTAGGGTAATGGTGTTACTTCCAAAGCAACAATGTTCTAGGCCAAAATATTCCTCCGATAATCTTTCCTGGATTTGAGCATTTAACCTGGAGGAGTGAACTAACGTGAGTAAGGTAAATAATTTCCACCTTTAAAAGATTGGAATATGTTAAGGCGTAAAAAGATAAAAAAATATTAAATACTCGATCAAGAACTTTCTTTAAGCATCAAATACTATTAAAACTTCGCTATACCTCAAGCCAGTAACAATAGTGCAACAATCCTAAAAAATAATGGTGATTGGAGACTATTACAAGCCTAGAATTTCTGAATTTATTCATGCTTCTATTTTATCAAAAAATGAAAGCCTTTCATGTCCTGTAGAGATTAAATTTTATAAATTTGCTGACGCAAATTATGTAGGCAAAAAAGGTAACATTTGGAATAAGAAATAACTCTCAAATTACGTATGCAAATGCAAAAATAACTTCCAGAATCGGAAATAGGCAAATGAACTAAAAAACCACGCATGGGAGCAGGAAACGCAAAACCTGGCAAACAAACACAAAGAGGAAGATTATGACAAAAAGGTAAGCGTGCCTATTGTTGGACAACATGTTAAAATTCATGAAAATAGAACACCACATTAAGGAAGAAAATCAGTTCTTTAATAAAATATACATTAAAAAAGAGTGAACAATAGAAAATATAAATGTGTATGTAGCACACCTTTTTAAGAACACCACTACAACTTCAGGGAGAAAAAAAAAAGACCACTGCAACCACACGACTTGTTCTGAAGAAGTTAAAATTTTCATCAGTATTCTTCTGGGGAATGTTAATTGCATGTGTAGTTGTTTGTAGGAAAGAATAGAATAAAAAGGAGTATTAAAAAATTAATGAAAATTAATAGAAAGAAGAAAAAGAAGAAGAAGAAGAAGAGACGGTTATTTTGGTAGCAAATAATCAAAAAGAGGGTAGTTTTGGCCTTCTTAGGCAATGAAAACGGACAGGTCGCTTAATCTTTATTTAGTATTAGATTAGATACTTCATGTGACTCTTCGTTACAACTGTTCAGTGTAGTCACAATTCTTGACAACTAAGAAAAAAGGAAAAGAATCAAAAAAGGAGAAGAAGGCAAAAAAAAGGAGAAAAAAGATAAATATTTTTCCGGGCTTTTAGGCTTGCCACGTCACTTTTCTAAGTCCCTACTTTATATTATTATATATAGATATAGATTGGTAATTCTTTTTGTCCATTCGCTCAAGGACAAATTTATACCGTAACACCTATTCTTCTTCTTCCTTGCTATTTATACGTTCTAGCCAGTTCCACATCGATCCTTTTCTCCCACTCCTCTCTCCTGTATTTCTCCGTCGCTTCTGAGTTCTGGGTATCATTTCCCAAATGTGCCCATTTGTGGTTTCTAATTTTCTAGCCTCTATTTCATTTGATATTTCTGGTAAGTTTTCCCCTTTTCTTCCTTTCTTGCACTGATTTTTAGCCATCTCTTTTGGATTCCTTTGAAAGTTTGTGCATTTGTTCTTCAATTTTAGTGTTCCAAATCTTCCTCATAATTTCCTGCTAGATATTTTACGTGCATGTTAGTAATTTTGTGTGATATGCACATGCATGTTTGAAAGTAGATAGCCTATACATGTAATTGTGTATTATTTTGGATTGCGCGTTGATGTCTTTTCGACTTTTGGAACTAATTAATAACTTTAAATCGAAACTTCTAAGCAAAAATTTATAGTATTAAGCTTGTTGTTGGAAGATTGGGTCTTTGCTACTTATAATTTTTTTTAGTTATTGACAGTATCTCCAAATGGGGCTAAAAATGCAAGAGGATTCAAGTGCAAAAAGGACTCAGAGTAGCCAATAATTGCAGAAGAGGAGAAGCAAACTCAGAAATGACGAGTGATGGTAGTCTAGGAATCCGTATTTTGGCTATATTTTTCACTCTAATTACTATACTTTGAATGTATTTGAGCAAAATTGTTAGTACTTTGTACTTGTTATGTGTGTTATGCTGTGTAGGATGTGATTTCAAGTGAAGAAGCAAGTTTGGAGCTAAAATGAATGATTTGGAGCTTTAAAGTCTGAATAGAAGCCCAACAAATTAAGTTGGGATCATGTTCGGGGGTCGAGGATCAAGTCTGGATCTCAAAAAGTGAGAAAAATTATTACTGTGAGAAAAATGCACTACCGCCCCGCACCATGCGTCACGGGGCGCGGGGTGCTAGTGCAAAATTCCTGCATAGTGGAAAAAATAGGCCTCTGAACTTTTCCACTAATGCGGGGCATGGTGCGTCCCCCGGTGCGCCGCGGTAGTGTATTTTTTCGTTTAACCTTTCCCACTTTGGCTCAGAGAGGGTAGTTTCATCCGGACTCATTCCTACATGGAATAATACACCAAAAACGCGATTTTTAGAGGACTTTTGAACTACGAAAGATTTAGGAAGCAACTAAGGCAAGGAGACACAAGATTTTAACCAACAATCAGTGCAATACGAGGGTTTGTATCGACTTATTAGCATTGCTGTTTTTCTCTGTCTTTGAACCTTATTGAGATGAATTTTTCCATTATTATGGAGTAGTTTTCCCTTAGGGTGTTGACATATAGGGTGTATTGATAGTTTGATTAGGAATTTGATCCTTGACAATTGTTTGACTTAATTGATGGAGTTTTGAATTGTATAGTGAAGTTATTCATTATTTGGTTTAATCGAAAAATGAGTTTATATTGAATTTCTTTACAAATTATGATCTCGTTTAAATTCGTAATTCAACTAGGTAATCGAAAGAGCTTCTTGAATTGTTAATCGAATTAGAAAATAGGGTAATATTCGTGAGAAGTTACCCTTTAGACCAAAACCATCATTATATTCATTGCAATTGTTCATTGTACTTCAATTGGATTATTTATAAAAATTAACGTTTAATCGAAAGAGGAATCTTAACTTCAAGTGTTATCTAATTATTTGGTTAATTCGTGAGAATCAACAGTATTATAAAGTGAACTAATTCAAGAGTTAGATCTCGAGTCAATTATTTTGTACCTGTCTAGTCATTTACCCTATTTCTCTCACTTATACTTCTGTGTTGCTCAACGCTTGTCTTTTGTAATCAATTGTTAATTCCTTTAATTTTAATAGTTAATTTTAGTTCATAATCATTCCGATTAAAGTGTTAATCATCCTGAATAGCGTTAAACCAGAAATTACTCGAACATTATTTAAATCCAATCTCTGTGGTGACGATAATTAAATAATATTATTTTTGGCTAGCGATCATCAGTTTCGTATTGTGTTTTGCGCTCGTTGCTCGTCAACGAGGTAAAAAGGCTAACCTGAAAAAGTTGTTTATCACAGAATTAATATCGACTTTCGGCAGCAAGTCTATGGATGCTGGTTCACTATTAGACTTTTCTGAAATTTTTTATGTATTGTATGACTTTAGTCGCTGAGGGAATCATTGGTGTTATAATTTTGGACGTTGGTTTAACCGTTTAAGTTATTTGTCTAGATTGTTTTGTTATTTTTTCCCATTGTATGCCATAGATGAATGTTATAGACTGCAAATGTATGTATTTTGCTCTTGATATTATTTGTTGAAAATTTGCAAGGATTGTTGTGTGCGGGTTGTGCAGGCAGAATGAGGAGAATTTTACGAAGTCAGGTAAGCCTTTGAATGTAAGGCCCCGTTAAAATTTCCTAATGATTTAAGATTTTAAAGTACGCCAGCGATATTTGGGAATAATATGTTCGAGTATTAAAGGAAATCCATGAGATAGAACCATATTATTTTGAAATAAAAATATATGTTTAAGGTGTGTTGGAACATACTAAGGAGTTTTGTGAATGACAAGAATTTATATAGAACAAATTGGATACATTAAGTGAAAAGAATGTCTTAATTCGCACAAGTTCCTACTTCAAATGCATGCTTCTACCAAAATATAACTACTTATGAGGTGATCTACCTATCAAATTAAAGTTCTTTGAGTCTAGTTTCTAACGCTTCAAACCGCTCGTCAATTGGATACTCCTACAAGAAGTTACGACCAAATTACCAAAAGCTCGCAGAATTGATTCTGCGTTTAATTCTGCGACCGCAGATCGTAGACCGGTCCAGTACAGTCCAGTTCTGGGCATTAATTTCGCGGTTCATTTTTCGGACCGCATACCTATTCTGCGGTCAGTTCTGCGACCGCAGACCTGAGTTCGGAGGGTTCATTTTTCTATTTTTATAACCCGACCCCATTTTGATAAATAGCCTTTGGGGCTCATTTTGAAGGCAAAACCCTAATATTTTTAGAGAGAAATGAGAGTGTTCTAGAGAGAGGAAGAAGCTAAAGTGCTTTGTTCATCAAGATCTTATCCAAGCTTTGAAACCAACAAGGAAATCTCACAAGATCTTCACTCAAGAGGTAAGGTTCTAACCCTAGTCTTCAATTTCGAGTTTGGGTTAAAAGATGGGTGATTGAGAGTATAATTCTTGGGTGTGAGAGTATTATGTATATATGCATGTACCAATAAGGTTTGTGAGAAGATTCTTGAACCAAAATAGGTAAAGATTGGGTTGTGAAGTAAAATAAATCTTGTAGAAGAATCTTGTAACCAATTTGTACACCTAGTGTTTGATAAAATGCTCAAATGAGCTGAAACCATGAATATCTTCCTAATTTGTGTTCAATTTTGTTATATCTCAAAATAGATTGGGATTGCTAGAATTTTCGGAACATTGTAGTAATCTAAGGAAAGCTCAAGCAAGGTATGTTGGCTAAACTTCTCTCCTAGAATTGAATCCCATGGGGTTCATGTAAGTCTCGAGTTATTCATTATAAATTAACTATTCCGAATAAGCTTTGTATTGAAAGGTATATATTCAAAATGTGTTCCAGATGCTCTTATCATATGATGTTATCCTTCGGGAATGTGTTCAAAGCATGAGTTGGGTATAAAAATGTTATGACTCCAAGTAGTGTTTCAAGTGAAGGCTATTATGCCAAATTGTGTAAGAAGTCTCAATGTGCATAAGACTCTTAATTGCTCATAGGTATACTAAAAGTCGTGATTAGGGATTCCTTGTTGTCGATAATCTATAAAGATGCTTGAAAGTGAAAGTAGTGAGTTGGGGATATAAAGTATGAACATCGTGCTAAGAATAAAATTTATATTTGTGGCCAATAGCGTCAATGAAATAAAATAGTGTATGAAATATTATGAAATGAGCCTTGATTCAACTATTCCAAATTGACTCCGAAAATAGAATTATCCAAAAGCTTATATACTCAAGTCATGTCCAAATGTGGTTGTTCTAACTAGTGCTATGCTTGGTAGGTATTTCCAATATGTTTTGAGTTCTTACATATTCATGAGCTGAAATTGTGTATTGCCCTTTTGGGGAAAGGTATTTCAAGAGTATTCTATGTGATGATGTTTATGATGATAATCCTTGAAAGTAAAGAAATAAAAATGTGGAATATGATATACGGCCACAGTGCCATGAATGAAGAATAATATGTATGGCCAAGGGAGCCAATGAAATAATGATGTTGTAAGTAGTTGAAAGTAATTGTGAAGTGATATATGGTGTGAAAGATTATGAGATCAACGTATTTGTACTTATGTTTTCAATGTGTTAAAAGCTCATACGCCCTCATGAGAAGAGACTATGGTGTTCCTAAATATTTTAAATGTTCTTGATATCCTATGATCACCCATGGCAAATACAAGTAAGTGATGGTATGAACATGAAATGTAGCTGTTTGCCAAAATAAGAATTATGAGGTGTTGTATGTCCCTATGATTTCAATTATAGTATGTATGCTACCAAAATAATTAATATAAATGACTTCGATGTTAAGTCCCCAAGAATCATGAACTTAGCTAATGACCTTAAGATGACAGGAGAGGATATAATGTAGTGGAAGAGGGATATCATATGCTAAGTGACGATAAATCTTATGGAAAACGTATTTGGGTCATGTGCCATTGAAATTGACTTATTGATTTACCATACATGTGCTAACATAATGAGTTGTGTTCCTCCATGATGAGCATGAACATGAAGTGTTCCAATGATATGGAAAATTACGACCTTAAATGTAATGTTAATCACGTCGCTTTGAGTTTATATGTGGTATTGTGATACACCTCCACCCGCATATATTGGGGTGAGGCGGCAAGGTCACTTTATGTAGAGATTGTGGTATTGTGATACACCCCCACCCGCATATATTGGGATGAGGCGGCAGGGCCGCTTTGTGTAGAGATTGTAGTATTGTAATACACCTCCACCCGCATATATTGGGGGTGAGGCGGCATGGCCGTTTTGTGTAGAGATTGTGGTATAGTGATACACCTCCACCCGCATATATTAGGGTGAGACGGCAATGCCGCTTTGTGTAGAGATTGTGGTATAGTGATACACTTCCCTCTGCATATATTGGAGTAAGGCGGCAGGGCCGCTTTGTGTAGAGATTATGGTATCGTGATACACCTACACCCGTATATGTTGGGGTGGGGCGGTAGGGCCACTTTGTGTGAAGGTGGTTATAGAGGATCTCCGACTTAATATCTATAAATTTTAATGGAAGCTCTTAATAAATTTGCTCGATGTTAACGGCTACCTAAGCCCTTTTATTGTTACCATGATTCATCATATTCATGTTGTATTTCTAAACCCTTGAATAAGTATATTTGTATTGTGTAAGTAAACACTGTGAATGGTCTATGAAACACACATGTGTATTGTGTAAGTAAACACTGTGAACGGTCTATGAAACACACATGTGTATTGTATAGGTGATACTGTGAACGGTCTATGAGACGCATAGGTGTATAATATGATATGTGAACACTAAGTACGATCTATGAAGTGTATATATGTAAAATAAGAGAGGAAGGTGCCACTTTTATTGGCCTTGTTTGTACATGTTGTTACAATTACAATATATTATGTATTCCACGTATAGTTCATATGGCTCAGTTGGTCCTAAAAGAAGTTTAGAATGATGCAAGTATAATAAGACTTGAAATGTGATTATATGGGATGTTTCGTAGTTTCTTGATGTACTTTATTTGCCTCTTATTTGAATTACCGTATTTTCATATGTTATTTTGACTGCCTTACATACGAGTACTATTCCACATGTACTCACATCCTTTTTGCCGGGGGCGCTGCATCTTTTAATGGGTGCAAGTACACTTCTACAAGATGATATGGATCTTTGATAGGGATCTTCTTCACTACTCAGTGAGCCCGCTACAATTCTAGTGGGTGTTTGGGTCTAGTTCATTTTATGTATTTAGGTATCTATTGTCATAGAAACTCCATGTATATTGTGGGTCAAGTAATTAAAGATTTGAGTTTTGTCATGTATTTATGTTCATAGTATTTACAGTTGTTTATAAAATTGTGTAACCATCATGAGAGTGAATTTATGGGACATTGAGCCAAATATATTCAATATGAAAGTGAAGATCTAATTATGTTTTGGTAAATCTTGCATGAGTTATGATGAGAGGTCGATGTAACGTACGCTTGCTCGACCGGGTTTACTCGGTTGAGCGCCGGTCGCGCTCCCTGAGCTCGGGGCGTGACATTGAATCCC